CACATGAACGTTACGTGAAGTATTAGAGTTTCGAATCTATAATATAAGTGATCAAGATATCTAGATATCGTATCTTTTGAGGGAAATATATGTATAGGTACGTTATATGTACATACACTTACAAATTTATATATATATATATATATATATATATACACTATATAGTATACGTATATATATCACACCTAAGTGCTCTCTTGAACAAATTATGGCATTGTCTCTTATCAGGGGTAAGGGTCTGCAATACGGAAATTCGCAGTTACGTTTCTTATCCAACATCTCGGCCATGAAGGTAATTATAATGTATATTTATTTATATATAGCGAATAATATTCATTGTTGTTTTTTAAATAAATTTTTATATTCTAATTTTACGCAAGAAATTACCAAAATGGAAAAGTTTGGTTTCCAACATCGTAGAAAAGAAAATGGGAGAAACCCATTCTTTTTCATTGCGATATTTAAGTTATGAATAATTTTGGTGAAAAATCAAATATTATTCTTATTTTTTTACTTTTTTCTAAAAAAAATTTTTCAAAAAAAAGCGATAAATATGTTTTATAAAACTATGATTCGATGTAGATTTATATTATTTTATTATTATTATATTATCTTAGATTTTTATATTCGATATTTATTTTTTATATTTTAATTTCTAACAGAAAGGATTGGTGCTTGGTATATACGAAGCAGAAGATGAAAACAACATTTCATTGACTCCTACGGCAATTAACTATGACGAACTAGTTAAAGGAAAACTGCGACAAAATATTTTTTTGTAAGTCTGAAATTATATTAGTAATTTCTAACATATTTTGTATCATAATATTTTATATCGTAATTATATCACATATCAATGCAAAATCTGTGTTAATATTATTTTTACTAAATATATTTTTTTTTATATAATATGTGAAACCAGATCACAGGTGTATATTCAAGTATAAATATTACACATAACATTGAAGCGTTTTTCTTCAAATCAAGCAAGCACTTATCAATTCAAAATAAATTAAATGTATATAATAAATTACATTGAATTAAAATAAGTATAAATTGTAATATAAAGTATATAATTTTATATATTATTATTCTTGTATTTTTATCTTATATATTATATGGATTAATATTAATGAATATTTAAATGTTTTATTCATAGTTCCAGCCTGAAACAATTTTCATAATGCTGCCTGAGCTTCACATATAATATTCAGAAATGCTTTTCCTTTATTATTTTAAAAATTTTACATAAAGTATTTTCTGTTAATAAAATTCAATTTGAATGAAATTTGTGTTCTCTGAGCTCACTGGCATTATTTTCATTGTTTCAGGAGAGACTAGACTGAGAGACGATATTGTACGCATGATATGAGGCAAAAATTCGCTGCACAGAAGGAGTTACCAGATACCTATTTTCTTATATAAAAAAATTTTAACAATATATTATTTATAAAGTAATTATTTGTATAGATTGATTAATATTAATCAAGTAAAATCATGTCAGAAGAATTCAAATGGAATCTTGAAAAATATGAAATTTAAAAAAGCAGATTAAAATTACCAGATGTATTTTAAAATAATTAAATGTATTTTAAGAAATATTATTCAATTAAGAAGAAAGATGTCAGCTATCAATGATAGTAATTTGGGAAATGATACCACTGCTGGAAGTAGTGGAGGTATAGGTGAATATAATGATAGAATGAATAAACAACATCACTCTGCAAATGTTCTTCATAGGATTAGTGGTACACTTGAAGATAAAAGTAATGATTATTTATGTCCTATTTGTTTTGAAGTAATTGATGAAGCTCATATTACACGTTGTGGTCATACATTTTGTTATCGCTGTATAGTAAAATCTTTGGAAGCCAATGGTCGTTGTCCAAAGTGTAGTTATACATTAACTCAACAAGATATTTTTCCAAACTTTTTGTTACATGAACTGATATCAAAATATAAAACTAGAATTAAAGGTCTTGCTGAATTGGGATCATCATATGCAGCTGATGGTAAACACAAATTAGGTAATACAGATTTATCTGTGCCACCTCATGATGGATTAAGAGATATTATAGCTGCAGAAAGTGCTAATCTAACATTACCTGATGTAAATGTAATGTTAGAAGTATTAACACAAAGAAAACATTTACTAGAAGCAGAAACCTGTGCAGCACAAAATAAATTGTTACACGAGTTTTTAAAACATCTATTACAACAAAAAGAAGAACAAAAAAACCAATTACAAAAGGAGATAGCATTAATTAAGAGAGATATGGATGAGGTTGAGAATATTTTAAGAGATGTTCAAAATAAATGTCCTAAAGTAGAAGATTTGAAGAAATCAAGTGAAAATGATACTGCGCATGTATCAGCTATAAGAAAAGAAATGATTGGTCTTATAGACATAATAGATTCAAATATGGTAAAACCAAATGAAAAAGCAAATATTATTAGCAGTGACACATTTATTAATCCTACAGGGAGTAAGAAGCAAAATGATTATGCAATAGGATCTACATTAGCAACACGTAGAAAAAGAATGCATGCTCATTTTGATGATTTTGTTCAATGTTATTTTGATTCTCGTGCTAAAGAACTACTCCTTGGTCATAAATCTCAGAGTCAGAGTGATTCATGGCAAGGCACTAGTTCAGGTCTTGATGTTTTTAGAGAAAATCTTGTCAAATTTTCGAGATATAAATCCTTACGCCCACTTGCAACTTTAAATTATTCATCAGATATTTTTAATAATTCCACTATTGTTTCAAGTATTGAATTTGATAAAGATAATGAATTTTTTGCAATAGCTGGAGTTACAAAACGTATAAAAGTATTTGACTATAGTGCTGTAATAAGAGATACTGTAGATATACATTATCCTTGTGTTGAAATGGTTTCTAGCTCTAAAATATCATGTGTTTCATGGAATTCCTTTCATAAAGGAATGCTAGCATCATCTGATTATGAAGGAACTGTAACAGTATGGGATGCTGCAACTTGTCAAAGAACTAAAACATTTCAAGAACATGAAAAAAGATGTTGGTCTGTTGATTTCAATGATGTAGATACTAAACTCATAGCATCAGGATCAGATGATGCTAGAGTTAAGTTGTGGTCTTTAAACAATGACCATTCTGTAGCTTCATTAGAAGCAAAAGCTAATGTATGTTGTGTAAAATTTAATCCACGTAGCTCATGTCACTTGGCATTTGGATCTGCAGATCACTGTGTCCATTATTATGATTTGCGTAATATGAAAGAAGCACTTTGCATTTTTAAAGGTCATCGTAAAGCTGTTTCATATGTTAAATTTATAAATAAGGAAGAAATAGTATCTGCAAGTACTGATTCGCAATTAAAAATGTGGAATATTAATAATCCGCATTGTTTGCGATCGTTTGTCGGACATGTTAACGAAAAGAATTTTATAGGTCTTACTACTGATGGCGATTATGTAGCATGTGGATCAGAAAATAATGCACTTTATGTATATTATAAAGGACTTTCGAAACAATTATTCTCGTATAAATTTGATGCCGTTCGAAGTATATTAGAAATACAAGAACGAAGAGAAGAAGATCTGAATGAATTTGTATCTGCAGTTTGTTGGAAACAAATGTCCAATGTTGTAGTAGCAGCAAATTCTCAAGGAACTATTAAGATATTAGAATTAGTTTAAAGTTAATTATGAATTCTATAATCCTTAGCAGATGTTGATATACATATATATTTTGAAATTTATTCAATTAAGTGCTTAGGCACAAATAACAACGAGAAGTGAAAATTTATTCTAAATGTTACAGTAATTTGTTGTAAGCAAAATTGAAAAAGAAAAAAATTTAGAATATATTAAAATCTAAATTATCATATTAGAGACTGATTTACTTGAGAAAGTAATATTCTGCATACCAAACAGCTCAAATACTTCATTATGTTTTTATTAAATATTTCAGTACTGTTATTTATATCATTCTGATTTAATTGTTTTTCAATTTAGATATATTTTTAATAATAGACTGAATTTTAATAATAAATAATTCTGAAGATATATTAGTATATATGCATACAATATTTTTTCATTTAAAACATGGCCTTTTATAAAATTATATTAATTTAGCTATGATTGAAATTAATGTATTTCTATAATAATTATTAGCACAATTCAGATATAATAAATCATTATTAGCATAATTAATAATTAGCATTTATTAGCGCAAAACTTTATTATTATTACTTATTATTATATTATTATATTAATTATCTGTATTTTTGTATTTTTTATTCTTATTTGATTTAACATTACATAATTAGTTTTATATGATAATAATATTTGTTCATAATTAAATCAAATAAGTTATTTAATAATATATAGATTTTTTAGCTCTATAAATATAAGATTTGTGAATGTTGAAAGAAATATAAAATTTTATAATTCCAAACAGTTTGTAATGTAAAAAATATTTTTGTGACATATAACAATATATAAAAAAGTAAAATATTTTAAGTAATTACTTCATAATAATTGTGTGACATAACTTTAATTACATGTGATCCTTATAATAAATCTTGCCAAAGTAGCCTAATAGTTTAAATTTGAAAAGTAAATATGTATAAGTTAATATAAATAATATTGACACTATCATTCAATTCATTTTGTGCCAAGAACATTACAGAAATAATAAATGTGCTTAAATTGCATTAAGTTCCTATTATCAGAATTATAATCACTATCTTATATATTAGTATCAGAGCTAAGGAAAGATAGAATTTATAATAAAAAAAATAATAAATTAATGTTTTTTTTTTTACTTTCAGAAATATACTATTATAATTAAATAAGTTAATTATAATTAATAATAATTGCTTTGAAGAATATTTTTGAAGAATATTAATAATTATAGATATAATGATTTTATTTTATGAAAATAAAAAATTTATTTTTAAAAATATTATTTCACTTAGCTCTGAATTCTAAGCAAATCTATCTCATTTTTAAATATCAATATGTCAATTTTTATAATAATTTCTTTACAATTTACATAATAATATTTAAGCAAATAACAAAAAATATAAAACCCCATGACAAATTTACATACTTAACTTTGTGTGTGTGTGTATATATATATATATATTAACAAGAAAGCAAATTTTTTTTAATATGAATATAATGTTACATTTTATTGCATATATTCAAACATAATTCTTTGTTGTTATAAATTCTTATCAAATAATATCAAAATATATTAAATATAATTATCGTTTACTGTTAATGTATTACATGAGTGCAAATCAATTATCTCCATATAAATCAGAGAATATAATTGTGAATTAATATGTAGTTCTTGTGAAAATTGTAAAAAATAATTGTAATTTTAATCTAACTATTAGTTAGTACAATTATTAGAGATATTAATTAGAGTAATTTTAAACGAATATATTCTAGGATATATGTAAAGATAGTATATTTTTAGATTGTATTTTAAAATTGCAGATGCTATAGCATGTGCTGATACATGTCCAAGACGCCTAGAATTATTGTAAGAAATAAATTTATGAATTTATCTCAGTATGTCCTTCAAAAACTTTTTCTGATTTTATGTACATATCCCTTTTATGTTATCAATTTATATTTATTCTATTGAATAATTAATTTTAAATAATATTTCAATACTTGTACTACTACAGAGCAGGTCCAAAAATTCCCAAAGGTCATGCTAGAGTATTTTGGGGTTTGGATGAAAAAGATTATGCAGGAATTGCAGTTGTTGGCCTCGGAAAAAAAAATCTTGGCATAAATCAGCTTGAAGAAATACATGAAGGAAAGGAGAATATACGTATAGCGGCGGCAGGTACATATTTTATGAGCAGATAAATATAAAAAAAAAAAAAAATAAAATATCTATTAGATTATAAATTAATAAATTATAACTAATAGATTATATTCTCTTTATATCATATTTTAATTAATTAATATAATAATATTGCACTAGCTGGTTGCCGTGCATTAGATGCAGTTGAAATAAAAGATATACAGTTAGAAGCTTTAGGAGATGCAGAAGCTGCAGCAGAAGGAGCTGCATTATCAATGTGGTTTTATCAAGGATTGAAAAATAAGGAGAAACAGAAAATACTTCCAAAAGTTTCATTGTATGGTCAAGAAGGAGAGTGAGTATTATATACTTTCACATATTCTTTTATATATTCATTTATATTTCTTAACTTAATAAAAATTATTTTTTCAAGGGAACAGTGGCGAATTGGAAGCATTAAGGCTCAAGCTCAAAATTGGGCACGTCATTTGGCAGATACTCCAGCCAATTTAATGACACCTACAATATTTTCTACAGAAGTGCATACAATTCTTACTAAATTAGGAATTACTGTACAAATTCACAATGAAGAATGGGCAGAGCAGAAAAAAATGGGTTCTTTTCTTAGTGTATCTCATGGTAGTTGTGAACCACCAAAATTTATTGAAATTCACTATAAAAATGCTGATAATAATTCCCAACCAATTGTCTTTATTGGAAAAGGTGTTACCTTCGATGCTGGCGGCATTAGTCTCAAGGTAAAATAAAATAAATTTAAATATTTAATATAAATTATATATAATTTAATATAAATATATAATTTTAGCCTTCAGCTGATATGGATGAAATGCGTGCAGATATGAGTGGTGCTGCATGTGTAGTAGCTGCTATTCGAGCTGCTGCAGAACTTAAATTAAAATTGAATGTTATTGGTTTGATACCTTTAACTGAAAATTTACCATCTGGAACTGCAACTAAGCCAGGAGATGTTGTAATTGCAATGAATGGAAAAAGTATCATTGTAGATAACACAGATGCAGAAGGTAGACTTATTCTTGCAGATGCTCTTTGTTATGCTCAAGAATTTAATCCAAGGTAATAGATACATAAATTAGAAAATATATAATAATAAATATGATAATATAGATATTCATTAAATATCTTTTGTATATAGTTTTATCTTGGACATTGCAACATTAACGGGTGCTATGAGAATTGCCTTAGGTGGAGCAGCAACTGGAGTTTTCACAAATAATAGTACATTATTTGAAAAATTAAAAAATGCGGGCACTCTTTCTGGTGATAGAGTATGGAGATTTCCACTTTGGCAACATTTCACGGATGAAATGACAAGTATGAAAGAAAATATTATTTTTAATGTTGAAAAATAGTAATATTTTAAATAATATGATATTATTTGCAGAAAAAGTTAAATCAGCAGATGTGAGAAATGTTGCAAAAATTAAAGGTGGAGGTTCATGTACTGCAGCTGCATTTTTACGCGAATTCGTATCGAATAATACTCCATGGTTACACTTAGATATTGCAGGAGTAATGGGTCCTGGACCTGATAAATTACCATATATACCAGCGGGAATGACAGGTCGTCCGACTCGTACACTGATCCAGTTTTTACAGGCATTGTGTTAAAATTGACAACTATTTTAAGTTGTATGGTGCAAGTTTATCTATTTTTATATATACGTATACATATATGTATATACACATGTATATATATGTATATATAATTTCATTTTCTATATAGATATATATATCTATATATATATATATATGTTTACCTCCCGTCTTATATTCAGACATTTATACAAATTGATTAGAATTAATACAACGAATTTAGTAAATCGAAATATATAAGAAAATTAATTAACATGCAATCATTATATTTGTGTACAGAATTATATCTTTGCAATATAGCAATACTTAGTACAAATATGATGAACTTTTTGTACAGCTTACTTTATTCACATTATATAAAGTATTATATCTAGTGAAGCAATTGGATAGTAACAATCAATAATCATAAAAGAATAAAAAGATTCAATATTATCAAAAAAGTTTAAATGTATAATATCGTATAGAATAGAATATAATATTCTTAATTTGTACAAAGTATAGCTTAATATAATAAAAATATATATTTATGGGAGGTATATTGATTTTAGACAATTAATACTTTATTTGCATTTAAAATACATTTAATAATTTAATCGATATCGTGTAAAATACACGCAACTTGTAAAAGTGTTAATAATTCGAACTTAATATAATAAAATACAATATGACTTATTGTAAAAAAAGTCGTACTTCTAATTTTATATACATGAATTAATTAATACTTAATACTGTAATCATTGCGATTTTTTATGTACAATTTCTGCTGCTTATTCCCTTGAACATTTTAAAATGATATATCAATTATTTTGTTTTATGAATATATTATATATTCTTATGTAGTTTTCAGAATTATTTATAATATAAAAAACAAATATAAAACACCAAAGTAAAAAATCAAGGAAATTAATATAGAATATTTTTTTACAAGGAAAATAATAATATATATTCATTATTTATATTAATATATGATTTAATAAAACTGGTATTATTTATTATTTTTAATTAAAATCCCAATTTCTAAAAAAGATTAATTAATCTTTATCATAAATATTTTAATATACATATTCATATAAGTGTACAAAATCATGCACTTAATATTAAATTAATGAAGCACTTCATTTACTAAAGAAAGTAAAACTTATATATTCATAAGAATAATATTCTGCGATCACAATAATTTTAGATGTAGGAACAATATTTTACAATAATAAATTAATTTGTATAATATTCATGTACAAGATGGTGGAGGCTGCTGCTGTGGAGAGGGAAGGG